CACACACACACACACACACACACACACACACACACACACACACACACACACACCTCCCAGTTTTGTGAATAACAGTTAATTTACGTCAAACATGATTAGTTTCTGGTCCTCACAAACAGAACGCACACATCAATGACCAGGTCCCTCCAGCCTGACCCCCCACCCATCTCTCTATCACGTAGAGAAACAACTACAATAAAAAAATATCAACCCGACTAAAATTCCTGCACCTCACGACTCGATCGATGCGACTCGCAAGTTCTGCAGCAGAAAAAAAAAAAAAAAACAACTGAGCTCCTGCAGCTGCAAGAAGGACCACAAAAGTCTTCAAATGAAAGAAAACAAAAGCCAGACGTGACATTTTAGGCGATTGTTAAACAGAGTAAAAAGCACCAAACAGGATTCGAGTCGAATTTGCCTCGAGAACAAGCGCGCGCGCGAGTTCCCTCAGTGGTTTTGTGTTATGTTTGTTTCCTTGCAGCTGTCCCATCACAAGACAACAACAGCGCAAAATTTAACTAGGAGGTCATGACAGATGTGCACTTTGAAAATAGACCCGTTTTTAGGCGAAAGAGCGTAAAAGCTTCATAATAAAACTCCTAATGAGGAAAAGTTTAAACCGCTCGCCTGGATATTTTCTTTCTTTCTTTTTTTTTTTTTGGGATTATAAATCACCTATAATGAAAAGTAAAATTAAAAGCTAAAGACACGATTAGGATAAATATTAAAAAAGAGAAAATATTATGTAATTAAGTTTGACTTTGGCCCCTAAGTCACGCGCGACTCCCAGTCCCGGCGAGGCCCCTGTGGACAGGGAGAACGTTGCGCACCGTGTGTCCAACAGGGTCACACTTCGTCCCTCTGCTGTCATCTCACTCCGCGAGTGTGGAGCGCGCATGGGGTGAAGTCATGCTCGTGCTCCGGAGCAGACTGAGACAAAACATAGACAGAAGCCAGGTCACGGACGGACTGACAGATTAAAGGGAGAAGTTGTGCCCATAGAGGAGGAGGAGGAGGAGGAGGAGAAGAAGAAGAAGAAGAAGAAGAAGAAGAAGAAGAAGAAGAAGAAGAAGAAGAAGAAGAAGAAGAAGAAGAAGAAGAAGAAGAAGAAGAAGAAG